AAAAAAAATTTATTAAATAAATAAATTAATAAAATTTATTAAATAAATTAATAAAATTAATGATGGTGTATTACCCTATATCTAATATTCGACCACCTCGTTTAAGCACATCTTCTACTGGAGCAGAAAAATTTCCATAGAATATATGTCGAAATAAATAATGTTGCATCTGTAATCTATCCATTTCAATTTCATCATCCGGCAAAAAATATTTTGAATTCTTGTAATTGGTATACCGTCGACCTTCGACATACCAAGGTTTTTTTTGTTCATTGGTGGAAGACTTTGAAGGGGTTTTGTTCTTGTTTTTATTCTTTGTTGCATTCTTTGTTGATTGTTGGTTTCCCATTAGTAAAATATATTAGTAAAATATATTAGTAAAATATATATGTAAAATATGTAAAATATGTAATCGTGATCGTACGAAAAGATTGTCAAAAAGGAAGAGGGAATGTGGACGAGAAAACAGGAGGATAATAAATGAAAGAAAGTAGGGTATAGACTTTATAGACTAATAAGAGATTGATTATTTATCAAAGATCAAAGGATTGTTGTTTCACTTTTTGAGATGGGCAATTTATTTAAAAATGGATTACAGGTATATGCAGTAATTGCAGATAAGAACTTTCGACCTTATTATAAAAGTATTGAATTTGTAGTTTCTTAAAATAGTTGAATATAATCCGATTGTCATCCTCTTAAACCTTTTACATAGAATAAATAAAAAAGTTAATATAATTTAAACGTTAATGGATGATTAAATCTGAGGTGTTAGACTATGCTAAAAAAGTAATTATTTAATTATGCATATTTACTTTATTATTTATGCTGTTTAAAAAAGAAGCATATATTAAAATTATTTTTCATAGAAAAACAGTTATTCAAAAAAATAACAAGAAAACCATATTATTGAAGCCTGCAAACAATCTCATATTTGGAATGATTGTCTTTTTGACGGTTTATTTTTTATTTAGTGACTTTATTTAGTGACTTTATTTAGTGACTTTATTAGTGACTTTATTAGTGACTTTATTAGTGACTTTATTAGTGACTTTATTAGTGACTTTATTAGT